ACACTTTCTTCCTTTCCCCCAGTTAAACAACACCTTCAAGGATCACTGCTAGCAAGGGATATTGTCTCAATACAATGCAGATAAAGACAGATGATATTTCTCCAATGGCAGTGGGACAATGAAGACCCTCCCGCTTTTAGTCTAAATTTTAAAGGAACTGTCCAATGGCACAGACATATTTTGGAGATGTGGTCCAGCAGCTTGGATCACTCCTTTGAAGTGCAGACTAAAACTTGAAGCGGAATTGTCATATCAGTAACATCGAAGTTGTTAGTTAGGCCGGATGGTGATGGATTAAAACTTGGACTCAATATTTATTTATTTATTTATTTGGGGTGCTTATACCCCGCCCTTCTCAACCCCCTAGGGGGGACTCAGGGCGGCTTGAGCACCACCATAGCTAGCCAGTGAAATGGGGAAGCTGTAGAGTAGACAAGTAGCTTCTTCTTAAGACCTACTGAATCGATTGTTGAATAGTTTATCAACACACTGGGGAAAACTGTTAAGGTGTTTCAGATGAATAGCAGTTTTTCAGTGGGTTGCTATCGGTTTTTCGGGTTATATGGCCATGTTCTAGAGCATTCTCTCCTGACCTTTCGCCTGCATCTGTGGCAAGCATCCTCAGAGGTTGTGAGGTTTGTTGGAAACTAGGAAAATTGGGTTTATATATCTGTGGAAGATCCAGGGTAGAAGAAAGAACTCTTGTCTGTTGGATCTAGATGTGAATGTTTCAACTGACCACCTTGGTTAGCATTTGATGGCCTGACAGTTTTAGGTGTGGCTTCTTACAGCTTGGGGAATGCTTTGTTGAGAGGTGATTAGCTGTCCCTTATTGTTTCTTGTCTGGGGTCCCCCTGTGTTTGAGTGTTGTTCTTTATTTACTGTTATAAATTTGGAGTTTTTTAATACTGGTAGCCAGATTTTGTTCATTTTCATGGGTTTCTCCTTTCTGTTGAAATTGTCCACATGCTTGTGGATTTCAGTGGCTTCCCTGTGTAGCCTGACATGGTGGTTGTGAGAGTGGTCCAGCATTTCTGTGTCCAGGTTGGTTCATCAAGTGATCTCCTTTGGCTGATTTCTCTGGTTGAAGTAGTCTGCAGTGCCTTTCATGTTCTTTGATTCATGTTTGGGCAATACTGCTGCGTTTGGTGGTCTCTATGTAGTCTTGTCCACAGCTGTGTGGTATACGGTAGACTCCTGCAGAGGTGAGAAGATCCCTTTTCACTTTCTTTGGGGTGAGTGAGTGTGAAGGGCTGACTGTAGTTGGAAGTAATTATAAACTCAGACTAGTTATATCAGTATGTTGAAGGGAAAATGTTATTACATCTATGGAGAGGATCTATTTGGATCCTCTTCATATCTTTGTTACTGTTGTCCCAGTTGACATAATGAAAGAATGGACTCACAATGTGGCTTAACACCACTTAAAGCAATTTCTATAAGTATAGCACCCATGTTGCCTGAGTTTACGGTGCCAGACATGTCATTTCCAGTCCTCATATTGCCAGCTGGGTGACCACCATCCTCCCAGTGGGAAACTCTTGTCACTTTTCCATTTCTAAAAAGATGAGAAGACTGGCACACAGATGTTAAAAGCCACCTTTCCAGGCTGCAAGAAAAGCTGACTAATTAGCATCTCCAAAAGGCTTTGAAGATGAAGCCTCTCTGAGTTAAGTGCTAATTATTGTTATTGATGATAGAAGAGCGGGGAAGCTCTTCCCGAGGTCCTTCTGCTCTCCTTTTCCTCTCCTCAGAGCTACAGATTCATCAAAGATGTCCCAAGAACCGGGGACAATCATCATCAGTGTGCCATATTGTTTCACTTCCCTTTTTAAACAGAGGCTCTAAGATGGTATCAATCAAGAAAAGGAGACTTCCTGAGCTTTTGTCACAGAGACTGAGATTTTCTGAAGTCTCAGCTGCCCAGAGATAGTCTTTTCTCCAAAAATTCAGAGTTTAGTGGAACATTGGTATCCAGTATTGGGGTTTTGTTTCAGGATCTACCTGTAGATATCAAAATCCATGGAAGCTCAAGTTCCATTATATACAGTGGTGTAGTAAAATGGTGCCCTCTATATAAAATGCAAAAATTTTGCACTCCAGAACAGGAATAACCCTGGGTTGTTGTAGGTTTTTCCGGGCTATATGGCCATGTTCTGGAGGCAATTTTTCTCCTGACGTTTCGCCTGCATCTATGGCAAACATCCTCAGAGGTAGTGAGGTCCTCACTACCTCTGAGGATGCTTGCCATAGATGCAGGCGAAACGTCAGGAGAAAAATTGCCTCCAGAACATGGCCATATAGCCCGGAAAAACCTACAACAACCCAGTGATTCCAGCCATGAAAGCCTTCGACAATACAAGGAATAACCCTGTACACACGTTGAGTAGGAAAACAATCCTTTTTTTTACTACAGATAAGAAAAAAAACAACAAGGTATAAATATGCTTTAAGAAAATAGCTAAGTTCAATAAGGTAGGAAGAAAAGCAGGAACAAAGTATTCCAAGGCAGGGTTCAGCAAAATTCAAAAGCAAAGTTCAGACTTTTGTAATAAAATCCAAAGAACCAGGAAAACATTCATCCATAGCATGAGTATATAATCCCAAGAGACAAAGAGTCAAACCATGAACAAGAAATCCTTAACATGAATCTTCCAAGCAAGGCTTCCATAGAACAAGAACTAGGACTTAGCAGGATTCTGAAACAATGCTTCATCTGACTATATTTTCCCTGGTGAGAACTTTATATCCCAACACTCAGAAACTGGTTTCATTTTCCTTGACTGCTTCTCGCCCTTACATGCAAATATGAGTAGATCAATAGGTACCGCTCCAAGGGGAAGGTAACAGCGCTCCATGCGGTCATGCCGGCCATGTGACCTTGGAGGTGTCTACGGACAATGCCGCCTCTTTGGCTTAGAAATGGAGATGAACACCAACCCCCAGAGTCGGACACAACTGGACTTTATATCAGGGGAAAACCTTTACCTTATCTGAACAATCAAAGGAATCTCTAGGTGACTGTCCAGCATCACTCTGCATCAACATCCACTGGTCAATTTGGAAGACCTAAACATTCCCAGAGATAGACTCTCTAAGAATACCTAGGTCCTTCAGAGCACTTCTGTAGCTAGCTTTCAGCAGTAGTTGACCACAGAGTCATGCTGAAGGACTCAGAGATTCCGAGAGAGGTGTTCTCACAAGTAAAAATAAATAAAAAGTTTTTTGTATTCATGGTTATTCCACTTTCACAGGGATATTTTTGCTCTTAACCTTAGTGAATGTGGAGGGCTGAAAGTAGGATACTCAGTGTGTTCCGTAGAATCATAGAATCATAGAATCAAAGAGTTGGAAGAGACCTCATGGGCCATCCAGTCCAACCCCCTGCCAAGAAACAGGAATATTGCATTCAAATCACCCCTGACAGATGGCCATCCAGCCTCTGCTTAAAAGCTTCCAAAGAAGGAGCCTCCACCACACTCCGGGGCAGAGAGTTCCACTGCTGAACGGCTCTCACAGTCAGGAAGTTCTTCCTCATGTTCAGATGGAATCTCCTCACTTGTAGTTTGAAGCCATTGTTCCGCGTCCTAGTCTCCAAGGAAGCAGAAAACAAGCTTGCTCCCTCCTCCCTGTGGCTTCCTCTCACATATTTATACATGGCTATCATATCCCCTCTCAGCCTTCTCTTCTTCAGGCTAAACATGCCCAGTCCTTAAGCCGCTCCTCATAGGGCTTGTTCTCCAGACCTTTTATCATTTTAGTCGCTCTCCTCTGGACACATTCCAGCTTGTCAATATCTCTCTTGAATTGTGGTGCCCAGAATTGGACACAATATTCCAGGTGTGGTCTAACCAAAGCAGAATAGAGGGTAGCATTACTTCCCTAGATCTAGACACTATGCTCCTATTGATGCAGGCCAAAACTCCATTGGCTTTTTTTGCCGCCACATCACATTGTTGGCTCATGTTTAACTTGTTGTCCACGAGGACTCCAAGATCTTTTTCACACGTACTGCTCTCGAGCCAAGCATTGTCCCCCATTCTGTATCTTTGCATTTCGTTTTTTCTGCCAAAGTGGAGTATCTTGCATTTGTCACTGTTGAACTTCATTTTGTTAGTTTTGGCCCACTCAAGTATAAGCCGACCCGAATATAAGCCAAAGCACCTGATTTTATCACAAAAAACTGGGAAAACTTATTGACTTGAGTATAAGCCGAGGATGGGAAATGCAGCAGCTACGGGTCAGTTTCAAAATAAAAATAGATACCAATAAAATTACATTAATTGAAGCATCAGTAGGTTGACTGTTTATTAATATTTACATAAAACTGTAAGATAAGACTTTCCAACTCTGACTAAACCATTATTCTAACCTTCTTCAATGTACATGTGTTTACATATCCTTCCAATAATAATAGAGTAAAATAATAAATGTAATAATAATAAAAATAATAAAGCTAACCTATAAATGTAATAATAATAATAATAATAATAATAATAATAATAATAGAGTAAAATAATAAATAACCTTAACTCGAGTATAAGCCGAGGGGAGCTTTTTCAGCCTAAAAAAAGGCTGAAAAACTAGGCTTATACTCGAGTATATATAGTAGTTGAAAGTGCAACATAGATTGATCACATTTTTTTCACAACAGCCTTTCCAAGATGTCGAGATAGGATTTCTTATTTTCAGAGCCACCCCTATACAGTGAAGTAAGCCAAAGGGCAACGGTTTACTCAAAAACTACATGATAAACCTAGTAGCTGAACATGAAACTGAGCTTAAGCTGGGTTGCTGTGAGTTTGCCGGGCTGTGTGGCCATGTTCCAGAAGCATTAAGCTACTTTATTTAGAGTCACCCGACATGACTGTCATCTCTCATAATGGTTATGTGTTTGCAAACTGATATATTGGTGCATTAAGGGACTGGAGCCTTATTCTTTTTTGTTACAAACTTTACAACCTGACAATCATGTTGATAGGGTTTCTTTCCTTCCCTAGGTGCCTGATGGTTCAGTGGTAGCTCTGGTCTCCAAGCAAGTCACAGCCTACAATGCAGTCAACAATTCCACTGTCTCCAGGACTTCTGCTAGCAAGTACGGTAAGGGCCTTTGCACTTTTGTTGGGTTTTCAACTTGGTATCCCATCTTTCCACCAAATAGTGTACATGGCTTTGCGTCATACTCCTTTTCCTCCCAAGAACACCATGAAGCAAACAGAACGAATGGTATCACAGCTGAACCACGACACTACATATATATGGAAGCTAATTGTGCTGACACGCACTGGGCCTATAGCAATTGTCTTTTAAAACAGGACATGCTCTTTGTGCCCAGTGGAATGCCGGGGTGCCTCGGTTGAGAGGCCCTATGGATTTTCCTAAACAAAGTCTTTAGAAACTTGGAAAGTTTAACAAAGTTCTTGATTATTGTTTAGATCTTCAACAAAACACACAAATTCTTCTTAACTTGCCCACAAAGGACAGGCAGCTTGCTTCGTGAACTATTTCTTTCTTTTGCTAGGAAAACCCTCCGACCCCTCCCTGGGCAATCTGTCTTTAGGCTGACTGGCGTGGGGCCTTACTACCGGTTCCAATTTGCCTTTTGGGTACCCAAGTAAACCTTACCGGCCAAAACTTTAGAGATTTTCCCACTGGAGACCTTTGGATCTGTAAAACCGTTTCCTTCAGAAGCTGTAGGGCTGTCTTCCCCAGAGGCTTGTAGAGCTGTGAGGCTGCAAGTTCCCCAGCCAGAGCTTTGAGAACTGTCTTCCCTAGAAGCTTTGGGACTATTTTCCCCCGCAGCTTTGTAAGAAACGGAGCTTCTCTACAGGTGGAAAAAGCTCTCACATCCTGTAACTGAGCTTCTAAACTGTAAGACTGAACTAAAAACTTTCATTTTCCTCCCAGAACTCAGGGGAAAAGGGGCGGAACTAAAGAACTTAAAGATGATAGGCAGGTGGCTGGCCCTATGGCTGCAGCCTGGAAGGAGCCACCCAACTGCAAAAGGCATGGCCAAAACAAACACATGATAGCCATGTATAAAAATGTGTGAGGAAGTCACGGGGAGGAGGGAGCAAGCTTGTTTTCTGCTTCCTTGGAGACTAGGATGTGGAACAATGGCTTCAAACTTCAAGAGAGGAGATTCCATCTGAACATGAGGAAGAACTTCCTGACTGTGAGAGCCGTTCAGCAGTGGAACTCTCTGCCCCGGAGTGTGGTGGAGGCTCCTTCTTTGGAAGCTTTTAAACAGAGGCTGGATGGCCATCTGTCAGGGGTGATTTGAATGCAATATTCCTGCTTCTTGGCAGAATGGGGTTAGACTGGATGGCCCATGAGGTCTCTTCCAACTCTTTGATTCTATGATTCTATTCTGTGTCCAGGTTGGTTCATCAGGTGCTCTGCTATGGCTGACTTCTCAGGTTGAAGTAGCTCCTTGATTCGTGTTTGGTGAACCCTATGTAGAGAAAACTATTAGAATTTTTTCCCTCCGAGCTGGGAACAAATAGTGATGGATTTGTTTTCCCTCCCCACCTCTGTAAGTTTTTGGAAAACCTGTTCAAATCCTGACCTATTTCCAGATAATGACTGTGAGGTCAAAGGTCTGAGTGGTAGGTAAAAGAAGAAGGAATGAAAAAAATGGCAGTAATACTTTGAATGGGATCTAAATAGCTCAGGTCAGGACCCATCAACTAAAGACCCATGACTTGAGCTATGGCCATGGTGCTCCAAGCTGCTTCCGGCAGTAATTAATCCAGTTTGCAATGCATTAATGAGGTTTCTGAGCGCAATCCCACACTTCTTCCTGACCCCTGATCTTTGCTTGCAGCAGTTGACAATTTGGACCCACTTTAGATATTTAACCTTTTAAAAAACCCATAGTCTTCCCATTCAGTGGAAGGATTTGCATATTCCTCTCTTAAAGCTGCAAGAACGTCTTCTGAAAGCCCACTTGTGGAATTTAGATACAAGGTGCTCATGCCTCCCCAAATTACACCTTCTGTGATTCTTTAACATTGAGCCATAGAAGTTAAAATGGTGTCAAATTGCGATATTTTCTAGATGCACCCCTAGTCCAGCTTGGTTTCCATAGCTGGTCCAGGTCTGCTGTTTACTTAGG